TATTGTGCAATGCTGGGAATCAAACCCAGGGTCTTGCACGTGCCAGGCAAGCACTCTACCTACCCCTGGGTGATTTTCACAACTTTCTACTGGGGATCTTAAAATGTCACAGTGGTGATTCTCCAAACCAATTTCAACACTTTCTATTTCAGTCCTCAAGACTACATATTATTGCTTCTACTTGCCAGTTCATATTAGATAAAGTACACATCAGAAACACTCTTGCTCAAAGAGGATGAGGCATTCTTTCCATAAGCAGAAAAGCCATCCCTTCCTGTGATTCCAAAACAATGCTGTAACTCTGTACTGCCCAATACAATAGTCACTAGCCACACGTGGCTACAGAACACCTGAAATAGGGCTGGTGTGAATAGTTGTGATCTGGAAATGTAAAATATCAATAAACAATTTTATACTGACTACATATTAAAATAATATTTTGACATACTAAGTTTAAAATATTATTAAAATTCATTTCATGATTTATGTTGTCTTTTTAAGATGTGACAAGATTTAAGATAATGTATGTGGCTTACATTTGTACCTATTAATTTTTATTGGATAGTGATAAGCCTAGTTAGGGAATTGATTTGAGTTGTTTCTTTAGGCAGAAGAAAACACATCATTCAGAAGTTAGACCCAAAATGGGATCACCAATGTGGCACAGATTACAAATGATCCCCCAAACTTGAAAAATGGTACATCATGTTAGAATTCAAAGACTGCTTTGATATCATCTAATAAGAAATCTTTCTTTAAAAAAAGAGAATTCATATTTAAATTATATTATAGGAATAACTTTTTTGGGTAAAATTATTGTTGGTAGAATTCAATAAAATAGGGATTCCAAGATATTCAAATTCCCCCTCTGCAAAAAAGATTGAAGTACTACAAAGTTATATTCTTACTTTTTCTGTCTGAAAAAAATTAAAATTTCTGTCTACCTCACAGAATTTCATTTTTTTGTAAAATGTTACAAAAACATTTTAGAGACTGTATATTAAAAAACCAAGGATTACTTTAGAATCCACTCAAAAATGGTTTCCATTACTCCATCCTCATATTTTATCATCCCTTCTCTACTCTCATTTCTCTATTTCTAGAAACTCCAATAAGACAATACGAATAAACACTATAATTAATGATTCAATCAGAAATACAATGTTATATATGAATGAAATGTTACCTTATTATAGTAATTTGTTCTTATTAATTATGTTATTATAATGATTTTAAATATGCTTTCTATAGAACTAAACTATAATACTTTATAAAGAAACAGAGAAAAAAATGAGACCTGATTAAATCCCTCAGATTTTTGAAAGATTAACTATCAGGAAGCTCTTTAAATGTCCTGTATAACCATGAATTACATAATTTTCAAAGTTTAAAACCTACTGAGTTATAAGGCCTACATTAACTGGTTATTGATATGGGAAATGATAGTAACTTATCAATGCCATACCCACCACCACTTTATGGATAATGGAGTACAGGGTGGTAAAAAGAATATACATATTGGTTAGAAGAATATGAAGGTTTCAGCAAAATTAGTACCAAAGAAAATTTCTGTGCTTCTGAACATGAAATGACACTTAAGGATACAGCTATATTTCTAACCAGTTTCCAATCACCTTGATACTTCCGAATTTTAAATATTTTTATTTTTAAAGAACTTTTCCCTTAAGTTATGTACAGAGGTGAACAGCTGTTGTTCCAGATAATTAGGAGGCTGAGGCAGGTGGCTCACTTGAGCCCAGGAATGTGAGGTCAGCCCACACAACACTGACCCTAACTCAACAAAAAAATAAAATAAAATAAATCAAACAAAGCCACTTTTCCCTTAACCTTGTACTTCTTCATATCAATTCTCTAAATAGTACTGCCAGAAAACTAGAAATCACAATAGTACATTCACAAGGACTGAAGTTCAAATATTTTTCTAGTAATGGAGACTGAATAATTAAATCCTACTGAGGCATTCAAAGGAAAGAGACATGGATTTGAGTTCTTATGATTTTTCTTGAAGAAATAAGAATGATGAGAAAAATAAGGAAGGAGAAAGGTGAAGAAGATCATGTAATGTTTTAAAAGATTTATTTTAGTTGTTTTGTAAGTTTAGGTCTCTTTTTACTCTTTTACACATGGGGTATTTGAAGGAAGGCATTCAAGAAAACAAAACCAAACACATGCTGATTAAAGAATATGGAGAGAAAAAGGCTGAGATTAAATAGGAAAAAGAGACAGTAAAACTATAAGGGTCTATCATGTATACCAACTACCCATAAAAAACACTGAGCAGGAATATCTAGTACTGAGAGGTAGGAAGCTAATGATATCTACTTTTTCTTCTATAAAGCAGGAAAAAATAATTCTCAAATTCATGACTTAATTTTTGTTTACATTTCTAGGACCAAAGTGAAGTGTGAGGTTATAATTTGGTCATGAAATACTTAACAAATGAAGGAATTTAGATAGAAGAAATTCACAAGTCTTCATTTTGATGACAAAAAGACTTATCAATGTTTTCATGTATCTATATCTTTTATTATTTCTCATGAGTTAAATAAGAAATAAAAGAATTTTGAAATTAAAGGGAGAATTAAACAATTATTAAATCCCTTAACTATTCATATTGAATTTTATTTAATTATCTATTTCAAGATTATCTATTAATGATTCTTAAAAAGTATGATATACAACTTCAGGAATATATTAGAAAACATTACTTGTAATGTATTGATAGATACCCAACATAAAGATTATTTTTGTATAAAATGGCATCTTCTGCAATAGAGTATTTTTGGTATGCGTAATGCTGTATTCCACAATAAGTAAAATGATATAAATATATTTTAAAAATTAAATACTTAAAAGTGAAATATAATTATCATTGTACTGAACATTTTAAAAGTACTCTATAGTAATGTACAACATCAGTAATATAACTTTGCTACTTTTGAACTCCAATGTTTTTCTTGTGGTACTTATTGTTTTCTCCCACATGGTAAACTTATTTAAGTATAAGTCACATTCTTCTGTGTGACTATAAAGAACTTCAAAAAACCATAGGCTTGTTTCATTATACTTAGTGAGATCTAACACAGTTCTCTGCTAAAGAGACTATGCCAAGAAAATACATAACTACTTCTGAAAGTAGAATCAAAAGTCTAATGAGGATTACATTAGCTACTGAGCAAAATGTTGATGTTCTATAATAGTAGGCACATATCATACAGTTAGAAGAACTCTTTTTTTTTTCCTTTCTTTTAATTTTATTTTTTTGATACAGGATCAAAACCAGGGTCCCACATATGCCAGGAAAGTGCTCAAACACTGAGCTACCCTCTACCCCTGAATAGAACTCTGGTTTTCCTTTAGTAATAGTATTGTCCTTGACCAAGCAGAGACTGGTACAAGCTTAGAATAAGCAGCAGGTAAAGATGATGATTTCGAGGATAGAAATATGGCTCTCATCCATATAAAATCAACTCAAAAGGACCAAATCCCTAAATGGAAGGTTGGAACTACTAGAGGACAACACAGGGGAAACACTTCAAGACACTGGTACAGGAAATTATTTTCTTGGTAGGGCCCTAAAAAAACAGGTAACAAAAGCAAAAACTGACAGATATGATCATGTCAAACTAAAAAGCTGCTGCATGGCAAGGAAACAGTCACAGAATGGAGACAGCCTGCATCTTTTCATGACAGAGGGTTCATAGTCCAAGTATATAAAGAACTCAAAATAAATAAATAAATAAATAAATAAATAAATAAATAAATAAATCCCTAAGTAATCCAATTCAAAACTGGGCAAATGACCTGAACAAACACTTCTCAAAAGATAAATACAAATACAATAAATACATGAAAAAATTATCATTATCATTAGCTATCAGGGAAATGCAAATAAAAATACAATAAGATACCATTTCATCCCAGTAAGAAAGCCTATGTTAAAAATAATAATAACAAATGCTGGTGAGGATGTGTAGAAAACAAACTCTTAAACACTACTGGTAGGAATGTAAACTATTTCTGCTACTGTGAAAAACAGTATGGAGGTTCCTCAGAAAACTAAAAATAGATCTAGATATTATTCAGCTATCCCATTCCTGGGTATTTATCCACAGGAAATGAAATCAGCATACCAAGGAGAAACCTGCATGCGTGTGTTTATTGTGGCACTATTTAGAATTGCTAAGATATGGAATCAGCCTAGGTGCCAAATAACAGATGAATGAATACAGAAAATGGGGTATATACACACAATCAAATATTATTCAGTCATGAAAATAAAATTCTGTCACTTGCAGCAAAATGGGTAAAACTGGAGGACAAGTCAAGTGAAATTAAGCCAGACACCAAAAGGCAAGTACTGCACATTTTCTCTCATATGTGTAAGCTAAAAAAAGTCAACCTGAAAGTAGAATTGTGATTATTAGAGACTGAGAAAGGCATGGGAGGATGTGGTAAAGGGAGGATGCATGTCATCAGAGAACACTGTATACATGTAGGAAATACCACACCAAACCTCATTAATATATACAACTAATATGTGTTCATAAAAAACAATGGAGACATGGGATATGCCTAAGGTTTTTCTCACAGTATTTTTCAGACAATAGTAATTGATTTATTGAGTTTGAAGTTCTGTTGAGCGTAATGCCTTACAAGCCATCTATCACATCGATCACACTTTCTTTATTTTTCCTTAAAAAAAAATGATTTCAAGGAAGAGAGAGAGAGAACAAAAAAACATTCTCCAACTACAGGCAGTAGACAAATATTCAGAATATACAGACAGGCAGGTAGAAACAGACACAGAAAAAAATTGAGAGAAATTTCTTTTAAGTGGCTTTCGGCCATTAATTAATGCCTCAACCTCTGAGGTTATCCTCAGTAAATGGGGCATTATTGAAGGAGAGAAATTTTAACATTCATTGAACAAGGAACACATAGGCAGTAAACACTGTACAATGAAACATTTTTTGTACCTTAATATCAGATGTATCACGCTGACTATTTCGCCATGCTCTGGAAACTGATGAAAAAGTTCTATCTGCATGGTCAAATTTTCCTCCTTGCAAATTTAGGAAATAAGTTGTAAAGGGTTCCTAAAAAAAAAAAAAAATAAGCAATTGAAAGAATCCATATGTTCCTTCAAGCATAAACATATGTTTTTTTTATAAATCTTTGCAACTAAATATTTTAATTACTAATAGGTATTAGCTAGAAATATATACAGGTATACATATAATGGGAATTACAACTAAATTATTATATTAGCATTCTTAAATTGTTTTAGTTTCAGAAGAAATATTTCTAAATATTTCCAAAAATTGAAACACTTTCTTCAGATTTTTTTCCTTACCAAGACCAATTTACTAATAACATTCAGATATATTAGATGCATTTTCTTCATAGTACAAGGGAATAGTCCAATATGCAATTTTCCTATTGTTACCAATATTTAATTTATGATTAAGAAAAGAAAAATGTTTGAAACATTTAAAAGCCTCCTCTTAGTTAAAGAACACTTAAACACATATTAGTGGCTAATTGCTTGAAATTAGCTAAGCACTATAAATTACTTCTAGGATTTATGTCTGCCTGTACCCTTGTAACAAGCTTTAATTAATGATGTGCTGCTAATGCTTTCCCAAAGAAATTACTTTTCAGTAGATGAATCACCTTTAAATTTTAGAGAAAGATTTCTTGTTTGACCAATATATTATCAATACACACAATAGTGTTGATTACCTACAAACATACCTTATTCTACTGGGGGCAACTGAAGCACCCAAATATAAGATTATATGCCTGTATTAATGAACTCCTATTTAGTTCTTATTTTACCAGACTATTTTGAAAAAAGAACTTGTTAATCTGATAAGAAAGCAACAATTTGAAGAGACAAATTGAAGAAAAAATTCAAAGAATTCTAAGTGAAATAGGTTTAAGGCAATTCTACAGTAATGTTACAAAAATACATATTACATAAGATACAGAGCTACTTAAAACTAGAACCTCAATCATTCAAAAAGATTTTTAGCATTCATAAAAGGTGCTGATAATTTCTAATCATTGCATCGTCTCTACAACCTTCAATATACTTAGTCATGGTTTATTATTCACATGGAACTTACTATTCTTAGCAGCCATGCAAGAACGAAACTTGCAGTTGAGTAATGAGTACCATAATGAAACTTTGGAACTTGATCATCTTCCCATGATTCAAAACGTTCTGCAAAGAATGCTGCTCTTTTTGGATTCAAAGCTCCTATTGGCTGCCAATGGAGAGAAAACAAGACACATAAATGAAATTATCCTTTGTCTCTTCCTTTCTTCTAATGTTATCCTATTAGTAAGTGTGAAAATAAGTTTTAAAAATATAGACTACTTAAACTAAAGCAAAGTATTACAATTAGAGTGGGTGGAAAAACAAATTTATTTTTCAAAACAGGTTAAAAATATACATATAAGTAAGTGGATGGATAAACCTGTTATTTCTCCGTAAGTCAAGTTTTTGCTGCACATAGGTTCTTAATCAGTCTAAAATAAGCATCTCATAAAGACAACTACATGAAGTGAACATTAGCTATGCAATACTTCAGAAATTACCTATAAAATTCTATTAAGTTAATTTGAAGCAACAACCACAGACTCAGTCTTGAAGCTGGAGGATTGCACTGTAATGGGCTTTGGGAAGAGGATGCAACAAAATTGGAGAAGGGGTAATTAGTACAAAAGAAGAGATTAAAAAAGGATTAAGATGTAACTAGAGGACCTGGGCTATAGCCCAATGACAGAATGCTTTCCTGGCACGTGTCAGGCACTGGGTTTCATCATCAGCACCACATAAAAATAAAAAAATAAAAAAAAGGTATTGTATCCATCCATAATTTTTTAAAAAATTAAAAAGATGGGTGTCATGGCACTCCCATTTACCTGGGAGGCTGAGGCAAGAGAATCCCAAGTTCAAGGCCAGTCTGGGCAGTTTAGCCAGATCTTACCTCAAATTATCAAAAAATTAAAGAACAAGGGATGGGTTGTAGCTCAATGGTTGAGCCCCTGCCTTGCACATGTGAGGCACTGGGTTCGATCCTCAACACCGAATAAAAATCAATCAATCAAGGTATTGTTTCCCTCTACAATTTAAAAAAATTAAAGAACAGAAAAGAAGTTTGAAGAGTAGCTAAATGGTAAAGCACTCCTGTGTTCAATCCCCAGTAACTAACACACACACACACACACACACACACACACACACACACGAAAGAAAAAGATGTGACCAGAAATTTCTACTAGTATGAGTAAAATCAGAAATTAAAGACTAAAACAAAAATTAATAAGAATGAACAAAGTAGGGCTCCAAGAATGTTAAGAGCAACTACTTTAAATAACAACATTCTCTTAAAACATTCTGATTGTTAGAGGATCTCTATCTTCCTATTCAAAATATTAATACCAATTCACTGAAAAAAAAGATATGTCAGATGACTTCTTTTAGAAGATACAGAAATGTCTTTTGCTTTAAATCTTGTGAAATCCTAGGAGTTAATCACTCCTCATTTATAAGAGAAAGAAAAATATCTGATTACTTATATATAGGATTAAAGGGAAATGCTAAACTAAATAAAATATAATGTTCTAAAATGAATAAATTCAGAAATGTTCTACTGAAAATAAAGCAATATGCAGATCAGTTTTTGAACTGCTTTTCATGTTATGTGATTTTAAGTAACATTTTTAATTCATCTTTTGGCAATCTTAAAGTAGCTGTTAAGTGTTTTTTTTTCCAGAACTACTATTTATTGTTGGTACTATTTTCTTTGCTCTGGTTCTAATCAACATTATTTTAAGTCATTATTTTACTTTACAAGTAGATTTTTTAAAGTCTTTAGTTGATTAGCATTTTAAGTCAGTGCTATAGTATACTAACTTTAAAATGACACATATTTTAAAGCACTGATTTCTGTACAAAAGAATTATATATGACTTGCTAAATGTATGCCAGCTAAGAATGGAACTGACTCCAAGAATTCTTTCTTTGTTATAGGACCAATGTGGAAAGCCTTTAAATGTATTGTAGTTGTTGTCCCTAAAGACTGAGCCATGCAAAAGGAAAGAAAGAAATAAAATCACTAGAAGACAAATTATATGAATTAAAAACAGAATCAATGCTTCTTTTGTATGGTTCTGAAGCATATTAAGCATTCATTTTATCTGCTCCTATTTTTATTACTCTCCAAATGAATATCCCCTCCCCCAAATCAATAGTTATAGAATCACGTTTCTTGAATATAATGTTAAAACCAATTAGGATTGATTTCACTAGCATCTGAAAAAAATGGCATCATGCAGAGATCCATGTAGGCAGAACCCACAGTATTGATTCTGGCTGTTATTGTTACAGTTGGTTTCTGAATCCTGGTATAGGACAGCTATCAAGACATACCACATTTATTTGCAAGCATATAAAAAAGAAGTCCCCAAATAAAAGAAGGTTGAAAAAAAAAAAGACCAGTGGTGCTGTGCAATGACAATGATACACTATCAGCTTACTCAGAGAAGTTACAGTGGGAATACACACATTGAATTATACATTACGCGAAAGCACTGATTTATTGTGGTAATAACATCCACCTCATTAAAAGATTCTGCTTTGCTGCAGTTGGAAGGCTACATATTGTTTACTGCTATAAATTAATGGCAGTGCAAAGAAGACTGTGGAACCGTCCTAACAATAGATCTGTAATGACAGTGCTGTATATCACAGCTTCCTCAGCAGCTTCATAATAAAATGGAGACAATGTATTGAGCTAATACATTCTACCATGCTGGCCCATATTTTTCTGACAACTGCTTTAAAAAATGAGCTGAATCCAACTATGTTATAATGCTGCAAAACATTTAACTAAGCAAGAGTCAGTCATACACCAAAGTGCATTATAGCATTTTTTAAAAGATTGTCTAAATCAGCATTTCAAGATGTTTATTCATCACCACAGGAGAACTCAAAAGTAAATGCTGATGGCTCCTCTTGCTTATACACTATATTAAGAGTAACAATTACTAGGCAGTTCAGGAAGATGCCAAGCACTACCATCCTATATTGAGCTTTATTGTACAACTGAATAAGTTTGACAGGGCATTTATTTTTAATCAGAAAATTTTTTAAAGAAAGAAAACAAAAAATACTGTTTTAAAATGGTCATAGGTGATTGGAAAAATCAATAAAAAGCGAGTATTGATTAGAGATTATAAGAGTGGTATAATTCAAGTTCATAATCAAGCAAATAAAAAGAGTCCTAGAAAACTGAAAAGTAAAATAAATTAAAATTTTGAACACCACAAATAACTAATGAAGATAATTAAGTAAGATTTTAACTTTACAAAACAAAAATGTCCATCACAATAGTATGAAAGAAAGTCTCAAATAAAACAAAACAGTTAAGATTTAGAATATCAAAACTAGCAACAGATGAATTATTGTTTAAAAAATGGAAATAAGAACTTGGAATAAAATAGAAAAAGACACATTTTTAAAAAGCAAAAAAACTCAAATTCTTTTTTTTTTTAATATTTATCTTTTAGTTTTTCGGCCGACACAACATCTTTGTTTGTATGTGGTGCTGAGGATCGAACCCGGGCCGAACGCATGCCAGGCGAGCGCGCTACCGCTTGAGCCACATCCCCAGCCCCTCAAATTCTTGAAAATGGCATGAAAAACAAAGAAAAATTATTTATAATATTTAAATAATTTCACAAATAACAACGGTGACATCTCTGGTAGAGTGGTAAGTATTCTGCTTATGAGACAGTAATGATACTGTTCAAGACAGGATAAACAAAATTCTACAATCATTTCCGGAAGAGTGTTACAATAAAAATACATCTTATAATAAAAACACACATTTTTGTTACTTCTTTGAGAAGTAATTTTGCTAATTAATAAAAATGTCACATTTAAAGTACCCAGCTCAGAGTAAGTTATTGATCATAATAATTATTTTTTGGGTGATTTGATCAAGAATATTTAAGAAAAAAGACCATCGATTAAGCCTGATGAAATTACTAGAGTCTACTAAAAAAGAACATAATTAAAGATCACAATCCTCTAATGCCAAAGCAGGATAAAAAAACACATAGAACTGGATATTAACTGTCAGAAGCTTTATAGTGCACAGTAGTCCCAATCAATGGCATTTCCTACTATAAGAACATAATCAAAAGCAAAAAATCCAAGGAGCTACAATTTTGTTGTTAAAAATGTATATGTAATGTCAAGGAAGTTAAAATCATCTTCTATCACATTAACTGAAATCAAACAGTTTTATATTCACAGATCACTTAAGAGGCACACAACAAAGTCTAATTACTAGTAAAAGGGGTAAAAAATAGAAAAGGAATCTGTTTTTTTCATTCTTTCTTTGGTATTTTAAGAACCCTAACCTGAAATACCTAACAAAAAACACCAACAACTTAAACTTTGCAATTAATAAAACATGATTATTGTCACAATAAATATATGAGTTAGGTATCCCTATTTGGACAATAAAGAGATAAAGTACCTTAAGAAATCTAAAGCAAAATCAACTTTTATCTAGGAGTCTCAAACCTAGTATCAAAACCACTTCTTTGGGCCATTTTATCCACCCATCTATGCTATCTTACAAGTTGTTTTAACTGATTTCTGACAATTTCCATTTTTCAAATATGCTCTTTATTGTATAGGTTGATATAAAAGGCAGATAGACATCAGTGCTTAGGAGAGCTCTGGCACAAAGAGCACATTCATTAAGTGTAGCTGTGATTAGCACTGCTGCTGCCGTTGCCAAAACCATAATTCCTTCTCTCCTTTTGAGAGTTATATATGAACTGCCACAATTTATATCAACCCTTCAGAAGTAAAGTTCCAAACTACTGGACCATGCTGATAGTTCCAGTGGGCAAGAACGTTATAGGGGACTGCCAAGAAATCTCAGGAATTCTACATAGCAGATATTTGTTTGAATTAACAAACTTCTAAAAGAGTTTTTCATACTTTTTATGAAGGCTTCTTTGGGAAAAATCATTAAACCCCAACATCTGAAGATAAGAAGAGGGTTAAAGAGAAAGAGAAAAGGCAACCCTGGGAGCAAAAAACTCAGAAACAGGGGTCTTAGAAACACAGAAGGATATGAGGGATATCGTTTCATGAAGATACATTTTTGAGATGTCAGAAGAGATGTCAAAAGAGGAAAAGGTTTCAGGAAGAATATGTGAAAGAGTATGACTGCTTTCC